CCCCCCCCCCCCCCCCCCCCCCCCCCCCCCCCCCCCCCCCCCCCCCCCCCCCCCCCCCCCCCCCCCCCCCCCCCCCCCCCCCCCCCCCCCCCCCCCCCCCCCCCCCCCCCCCCCCCCCCCCCCCCCCCCCCCCCTTCTGCAGCAGCCGCCCCTGGCCCCTGAAGCAGCCGCCCTTGCAGCAGCCGCCCCTGGCCCCTGGAGCAGCCGCCCCTGCAGCAGCCGCCCCTGGCCACTGGAGCAGCCGCCCCTGCAGCAGCCGCCCCTGGCCCCTGGGGCAGCCGCCCCTGCAGCAGCCGCCCCTGGCCCCTGGAGCAGCCGCCCCTGCAGCAACCGCCCCTGGACCTCTGCAGCCGCCCCTGGCCCCTGGAGCAGCCGCCCCTGCAGCAGCTGCCCCTGGCCCCTGGAGCAGCCACCCCTGGCCCCCTGAGCAGCCGCCCCTGGCCCCTGGAGCAGCTGCCCCTGCAGCAGCCGCCCCTGGCCCCTGGAGCAGCCGCCCATGCAGCAGCAGCCCCTGGCCCCTGGAGCAGCCGCCCCTGCAGCAGCCGCCCCTGGCCCCTGGAGCAGCCACCCCTGCAGCAGCCGCCCCTGGCCCCTGGAGCAGCCGCCCCTGCAGCTGCTGCGGAGCCCTCGCCATGCAGTGGTGGCGGCCTCACCGTTGCCGCCGTCGTACGCCTGCCCTTCTCGCCACTGGTGAGCACTGCCCTTCGCGTACTGCTGTTACTGCTGCTCCTACTGCTACTGCTCTTTCTACTGCTACTGCTGCTCCTGGCGTGGCCAGATGCAGCTCCAGCGCCGTCCGCGTGAGTCCCTCACGCCCCAACAGCTTCGTGAGTGGTACGCTAGTTGGGGTTGTAGGGGTGGCCGCGCTGCTACTACTGCTACTGCTGCTACTGCTGCTACTGCGGCTACTGCTACTGCTGCTACTGCAACTATTGCGGCTACTACTGCTACTGCTACTCCTGGCGGTGGCCAGCTACAGCTCCAGTGACGTCCGCATGAGTCCCTCATGCCCCAGCAGCTTCGTGAGTGGTACGCTAGTTGGGGTTGTCTGGGTGGCCGTAGTGGGAGTCGTCCTGGCGTGAGTAGTTCGGGAGCTTCTTGTAGTGGCCAGGTGCAGCTGCAGCGACGTCCGCGCGAGACCCTTTCGCCCCAGCAGCTTCGCGAGTGGTACGCTCAGAGAAGAGGGTCACTGAGTACTGCTCGCTGCCCGTACGTCATTCGCACGGGTGTCCGGACTGGTCAGCCCTGCGGGACACCTGGTCACACAGAGTCCCGCTGCTTCGCCCGTCTGAGCGACGCTTGGCGTACAGAGTTTGGCGACGACGCTGAGCTCCCCTCCTGGCTGGAGCTGCTTAGGCAGAGGGTAGATATCTTTGCTCTTGACTATGATGCTATCTTCACTGCCATGTATGCATTGCCTACTAGTGGTGAGGGTGCCTGTTACCTGTGTGTGCCGCCTGACCCAGGTATAGAGTCTGCTGCTCTAGGTGCTGGTGAGGCTGCTGCTCTAGGTGCTGGTGCGTCTCCTGCTCCAGGTGCCGGTGAGGCTGCTGCTCTAGTCGCTAGTGAGTCCACTGCTCCAGGTGCTGGTGAGTCTGCTCTCTCTGGTGCTGCGCCTGCTGTGGTCTTGCACACCTTCACCCTTGACTCGGGTGCTTCCCGCTCCTTCTTTCGAGACCGCACCACACTCACGCTGCTTAGTCGGCCGGTTGCAGTCTCCCTGGTAGACCCCTCTGGGGGTCCTGTCCTTGCCCACTACTCCACTGTCCTACCGTGTCCGGCGGCCCCTTCTAGCTCCCTGTCCGGTCATTACCTTCCCTCGTTCTCTACGAACTTGGTGAGTGGTGCTGACCTATAGGATGGGGGGGTTGACCAGTTCACTCCTGCGAGTCTGCGAGTGACCCACTGCACGTGTGCTCGGACGGGCCGCCACTTGGCCACGTTTACCCGTCAGCCGGGGTCGAGCCTGTACACACTGACTACCGAGTCTCCTCCGGTTGCTGCGTCTGGTCAGGTAGCTGCGTCGGGTCAGGTGTTTGCTGCAGCGTCCACGTCTGGTCCTGAGTCTGCCCCCTGCTCGTGTCGTCTCCTGTCTCACCAGACTCTCCTCTGGCACCACCGCCTTGGTCACCCCTCCCTGTCTCGTCTCCGAGGCATGGCCTCCCGTGTCCTTGTCTCTGGTCTCCCCCGGTCCCTCCCTCCCCTTCCCCCGGGGCCTACCCCTACCTGTATTCCCTGCGTCGAGGGGCGACAGCGCGTTGCTCCTCACTCCTCTGAGTTTCCTCCAACAGAGGCTCCGCTGCAGACTCTCCACATGGACGTGTGGGGCCCAGCCCGCGTCCGTGGACAGGGTCACGAGCGTTACTTCCTGTTGGTGGTTGACGACTACTCGCGTTACACCACAGCCTTCCCCTTGCGCAGCAAGGGTGAGGTCACTGAGGTGTTGATCAACTGGATCCGCGCTGCCCGTCTCCAGCTCAAAGAGAGTTTCGGCTCGGACTTTCCTGTTCTGCGTCTGCACTCCGACAGAGGTGGAGAGTTTTCCTCCGACCTTCTGCGAGCCTTCTGTCGTGCACGAGGCATCCGCCAAACGTTCACGCTTCCGGCCTCTCCACAGCAAAATGGGATTGCTGAGCGCCGCATTGGCATGGTCATGGACGTCGCTCGTACGTCCATGATCCATGCGGCTGCTCCCCATTTTCTGTGGCCGTTCGCGGTTCACTACGCGGCGCATCAGATCAACCTTCAGCCCCGGGTCACCGTGCCGGAGACCTCCCCTACTCTGCGGTGGACGGGGAAGGTTGGCGATGCGTCTGCGTTTCGTGTCTGGGGATCTCGAGCTTTCGTCCGCGACTTGTCTGCGGACAAGCTGTCCTCCCGTGCTGTTCCCTGTGTCTTCCTTGGCTTCCCCCCTGACGCGACTGGTTGGCAGTTTTACCACCCCACCTCGCGCCGTGTTCTGTCCTCCCAGGACGTCACGTTTGACGAGTCGGTTCCTTACTACCGTCTCTTCCCCTACCGCGCTGCCCCCCTCCCCCCCCTGCCACACTTCCTCGCGCCAGGTCCCCCCCCGGTAGACCCCCTCCACCCTCAGGGTCCTGCCCCCTCAGGTGTGTCTCAGGTAAACGCAGTCGAGCCTGTCGAGGTAGCTGTTGACTCTGGTGCTGCTAGGGGTGCTGAGCCTGTGGGTGCCGGGTCTCGGGGTGCTGAGCCCGAGCGTGCGGAGCCTGGGGGTGCTGGGTCTGGGGGTGCTTAGTCTGGGGGTGCTGAGCCTGGGGTTGCTGAGTCTGGGGGTGCGGAGCCTGAGGGTGCTGGGCCTGCTCGTGTGGAGTCTGGCGGTGCTGGGCCTGGAGATCCTTCGGGTGCTTCGTCCCGACGGGAGCTACCCTCTCCACAGGAGCTGCGCGAGTGGTTTGCTCGGCGCTGAAGCCGTGCTGCTGGAGCTGGTGGTGCTGCCGGAGCTGGAGGTTCTACTGCTACTGGGGGTGCTGGAGCCATGGGTCCCGGAGGTGCTCGTACTGGAGGTACTGGAGCTGCTGGGCCTGGTGGTGCTCCTGGTGCTGGAGCTGCTGGTGGTGCTGGAGCTGGCAGTGCTGCTGGAGTGGGTGCTGCTGGAGGTACTGGAGCCAGATCTGCTGCGTCTTCCGGTGGTCCTGCTGGAGCTGGAGCTGCTGGAGGTACTGGAGCTGGGGGTGCTGCTGGAGCTGGTGCTCCTGTGGGTGCTGGAGTTGGCGCTCCTGGAGCGGCTGGTGGTGCTGCTGGAGCTGGTGGAGCTGCGGGAGTCGGAGGTGACGCTGGGGGTGCTGGTGCTGTCCCTGCTAGTTCTGGAGGTGCTGCGCGGCCACGGCCGTACTTCGTTCCGCTCCTTGAGCAGGTTCTTGGTCTTCTGCCTTCTACTGGTCCTGCTCCTTCCTTAGAGTGTCCACCACCTGTCCAGTCCGAGTCACAGTTACAGCTGGCCTCCCCACTGCCTGCTCCTTCTCCCTACACTGGTCCTACTGGAGGTCTTGCTGAGCTTCGTGAGCCTGAGTCTCGTCCTGCGTCGCCTGTTCGTGGTGCTCGCACTGGTCGTTGTGTTCCGCGTCAGCGTCCTCCTGCGGTCCCAGGCACGCACCAGATGGCACTGCGTCCTTCCACTGCTCCACTGCGTGTCCCTTTGCCGTCTCCTCCAGCGTCCTCTCTTCCTGCTCTTGCTGACCGGAGTCTGACTCCCTTCGTGCTGCCAGTCCTACTGTCACGCGTCTCCTGGCTACTGTTGTCACTGACCCTTCCTTTGAGTCCACAGCTGCGTCTGCCTTAGTTGCTGAGCTTGTCGACTTCGCTGCTCACTGTCGTCTAGACTACGCCGCTAGTCTTGTTGCTGAGTCTGAGTCTGTCTGTCCTCCGTCCGTCGGGGGTGAGTGTGCTCTTAGCACGGACGTCCTTGAGGACAGGCAGGAGGAGTTCCAGTGTTTTGCTGCTGCTTTACCTCATCTCGTGTCCATGCTGATTGCACCTGAGGGAGACCCGGATGCACCAGACATCCCGACCCCGCGCTCTTACGCAGAGGCGATAGAGGGTCCCTACTCCTCTCAGTGGCAGTCAGCCATGGACGCAGAGATGGCTTCCTGGAAGTCCACAGGCACCTACGTCGACGAGGTTCCCCCACCTGGAGCGAACATCGTCAGTGGCATGTGGATTTTCAGGGTGAAGCGGCCGCCGGGTTCTCCGCCTGTCTTCAAGGCGCGTTACGTGGCTCGAGGCTTCAGTCAGCGGCAGGGAGTTGACTACTTTCAGACCTTCTCTCCCACCCCGAAGATGACCACTCTTCGGGTACTGCTGCACATAGCCGCTCAGCGCGACTACGAGCTTCACTTTTGTACTTCAGCACTGCTTTCTTACAGGGCAGCCTGCACGAGGAGATCTGGCTGCGCCGCCCACCTGGCTTCACTGGGTCGTTTCCTCCTGGTACCCAGTGGAGCCTCCGGCGGCCAGTCTACGGTCTCCGCCAGGCGCCTCGTGAGTGGCACGACACACTGAGGACTACACTTGCGGCTCTTGGGTTTGCTCCTTCTTCTGCCGACCCGTCGCTGTTTCTACGCACCGGCACCTCTTTGCCGCCGTTCTACATCCTCGTGTACGTCGACGACTTGGTCTTTGCTACTGCTGACACTGCTGGACTCGCCCACGTGAAGTCCGAGCTGCAGAAGAGACACACGTGCACAGACCTGGGTGAACTGCGCAGCTACCTTGGCTTGCAGATCACCCAGGACAGAGCACGGGGCACCATTACCCTGACTCAGTCACACATGGTGCAGCAGGTCCTTCAGCGCTTCGACTTCACGTACTCCTCGCCTCAGGCCACTCCTCTGTCTACTCGCCACTCGCTCTCAGCTCTGCCTTCGGATGAGTCCGTAGAGCCGAGTGGCCCGTACCCAGAGCTTGTTGGCTGCCTCATGTACCTGATGACCTGCACTCGACCTGACCTGGCATACCCTCTTAGCATCTTGGCACGCAATGTTGCTCCTGGGAGACACCGACCAGAGCACACGGCTGCAGCGAAGAGGGTGTTGCGCTACTTGTGCAGTACGTCGGGCATGGGGCTCATGCTTGGAGGGCGGAGTTCAGTGGTCCTCACTGGTCACGCAGACGCGTCTTGGGTTGACGACCTGGCTACGCAGCGGTCGTCACAGGGTTACACCTTCAGCCTTGGTTCTAGCTCTGTTTCGTGGCGGTCTACCCGCTCGTCTTCTGTTCTCAGCTCCAGCTGTGAGGCTGAGATCTACTCAGGGGCCATGGCTGCACAGGAGTTACGCTGGCTCACCTACCTGCTGACTGACCTTGGAGAGCCGCCTCGTTCTCCTCCAGTTCTGTATGTCGACAACAAGGCCATGCTGGCCTTGTGTCGGGAGCACAGACTAGAGCACAGAACGAAGCACATTGCTCTTCGCTACTTCCTTGCTCGTGAGCTGCAGCAGCGTGGTCAGCTGCGCCTTGCTTACGTGGCCTCTTGGGCCAACACTGCTGATATCTTCACCAAGGCACTTCAGCCTTGTGATCATCATTGCTTCTGTACTATGTTAGGTCTTGTGCCTACCCGGCCTCACCTGCTTACCTCTTGACTTTGCTTTGTACTGTGATCTATATATACCTGCACTTTCTTGTTCACCTTTATATATAATCCTGCATGTGAACTGGCCTTATGGCCTTTGAACCTGTGCTCAGAATGTGTGGTGACATTGTGATCCACCCTGAGCTTGCTTTGCTTTGCTTTGCTTTGCTTGACTGGTCTTGTGACCCCTTGTTCTCCCCCACTTTGCCTATGGGGGTGCGACAACATAATGCAAAAGGCGGGTCCTCACAAGGATTTTCAAAGTATAAGTCCCCTTAGTCCAGATTAGAGATCAATGTGGCTTTTATACGGGGGGGTCTTTAACTAAAGAAACGACAATAATTTGCACCCAGAGAGGATCCCAAGCAAGATCTTAATAACGAAGTTGCACAAACCAGAGGGATTATAGTCAAGATGATTGTACCCTGTTTAGATAAGAATATACTGTGTAAAAATCTACATTGAGCCATCAGAGTTTCTGAAAAAAAAACCCTGGCAAATATCGTCATCGCCCGAATAGTAGACAGCGTTGAATAATAGATTGGGGTTGTCTATTATCGGGGTGTCTCTTATAAATAGGCCAGCCTCATTATAAGACACCTATTTGTGTGTACGAGATAAGACATATATGTCTTATAACCAGAATAGGGGTTTAGGGGTTTTCTTATAAACAGGTGGTGTCTTCTAAACGATCACTAGTTCCTTTAGGGGGTACATGCATGTACATCTATGAATATTTACTTCTACCTAGCCCTCCTCAGTCACGGCCTCCTCCCCTGCACTAACAGCAGGGTCAACACCCAAGTCTGGCACTCGCCAGGCATGCCTGGCCGTCTCCCTAGGCTCGATCATGCGGTCAGCCTCAGCCGCCGCTCCGCGGTAGTTGGGGGTCTCCTAGTACAGCACCTCCAGGCCGGTTGCCACGGCCACCTCCCTCACGCCCTCCGCCTGCATCTTCTTCTCCTCCTCCTCCTCCTCCTCCTCCTCCTCCTCCTCCTCCTCCTCCTCCTCCTCCTCCTCCTCCTCTAGCGCCTGCCCAAGCAGGCGCATGTTGTCGCCCGTGGTTCCACCGAGGCTCATGTCCTTGAAGACATTGATAGTGCTCCTAGCGTGCAGGTGAGACATTATTTGGTGGTTCTCCGTCGCGTCCAGCTTGCTTAAAATCCCACAGTGGCGGAACGCGTCAAAGATGACCTGCTTGGGGACTTGATCCCACGCCTCCGCGATCCACTGCAGCACCACGAGGTGTGGAGGCCTCCGCTGGTTCCCTGCGTGTGGAAAAGAGGCATGGGTAGCGAGCCGTTAGAGACATGGAAAGAAAACAGAGCAGAAGTTGCATTCACATGGCTACTCACCCTTCTTCGTCTTCAGGTGAATCCCTTCAGGCATGAACCACCTGGCGTAGCGCGCTCGCTCACCAGCCTTGAAGCACCGGTTGATGTTGACGTTAAGGGGTTAAATCTGGCTCATGCAACCTGCTGGGATCTTTGCAGGGGTGATGCTGTGCGTGCGGTAAGATTGGAGCATGGTCTGGGTGATGTGGCCGCGGTAGGAGTCCAACATCAGCATCGCACGCCTCGCGTTTTGGCCGCGCTGGGGGTTTAGATGGGGCAGCACCTCCTTGGTCAGCCAGGTCTGCACAGCGCTCTCGTCCATCCACCTGTTGTCCTGTGCTTGGCATATGATTCCTGCCAGGCACATAGGGGATAGACGGGCGGCAGTCGAGGAGGGCAGGCTCACCAGGCTTACGGTCTTACCTTGAGCTTACCTTCTGGAATCTCACAGTTGGGCACGTTCTTGAGCTTGAACCAAACCCAAGGGCGCAGCTTCTCCCCGGATGCAGTGCACGCGAGCATCATCGTGAGCCGCGTCTTCTCGTATCTTGCAGTGCGGATTGGGACCGAGCGCGCGCCACGGTGCTCGATTGTCCTCTCGGCCGGCATCTCAACGAAGAGCGGCGTCTGGTCCGCGTTGATGATGCGGGCCAGGTGGATGTTGTGCCACGCCCGATTGATGCGCACGAACTTCCATAACGACTCGCAGTCCTTAGCGCACTCTGCAAAGGGAACACACGCCATGGTAGGACGGGATGGTTAGAAACAAAGGGCAAGCAACATGCGGTCAAGCAAGGGGCAAGGAATTCAAGGCAGTTAACACTCACCAGCCGATAACCGTTGGCCGACCTTGGTCTTCACACGCATGACCAGGTTCCAGCGGTCACCGAAACGCTGGCTCCAGTGAGAGCTCGCGTTCCAGTTCTTACCGGGGAGGTGTTTCTTCATCCACTCGCGGCTCCACTTCTGGGTGTCCTTCACCGAGATGGCCACCCCATTAGCGCGTTGCAGGCAGACGTAGCAGTACAACGCCGCCTCCGTGTCGGGGTAGTGTGCGTGGCGGCCCCCCCCCGTGCATCCGCTTGCGACAGTTAGCCGCTCCTTTGTAGACGCCCGCAGCAGCCTCTGCACTCCAGTGTCTGATGCAGGCGATAGATGCGGTAGACTCCAGCAAGGTCTTCTTCAATGAGTCGAGCTCCTGGTAGCGGCGCGCCGACTTGAGCTTCTCGCGTACGGTCCATCCGCGGCGCCTCTTCTTACTGTCCTTGCTGCGAGGGGAAGGTGGACGGGAGTTGGGATTATGGAGGGTGGGGTCCTTCGCCTTTGCCTTCTCATTCAATGAAGGAATTGGGCATGCCGCCTCCGCGTATTCATCGTCGCTGCCGAGCGCCTCGTTGACCAGGATGTCGTCCTTGTTTGGCCCCTTCTTCTTTTTCTTAGCAGCACCCGTGCTGGATCCGGGGTCGCCGTCGTTCTTCCGCTTCTTGGTGCTTGGGCGGCGACAAACGGTGGCCTTATCAGGGGCATCCGCGACCTTGGTTTTCCCCTTGTCTGCAGCAGAGATGCGCGGTTGAAGCTCCTCCCCCGGACTGTCGTCATCAGCGAGCACCACGCGAACACGCTTCGGCTTGGACTATAAGAGATGACGCAGCCTCCGCTTCAGAAGCGGAGCATCGTCGTCACCCGTGATGCTCCACGGGTCGTCATCGGCACCTCCCTCCGTAGCATCCGCATTCGCAATTGCGACCACATCCGCGGGCGCAACAGCATTGGCATCCGCTTCCGCCTCCGCCTCGTCGTCAGCCTGAGCATCCGCCTCCACCGTCGTCGTCCTCGCTTCCGCATCCGCCTTGTCGTCAGCCTCCACACCGTCATCGCCCGTCGCTCCCGTTGCATGCGCAGCTGCCTCCGCGTGCTCGCCATCAGCATCGACACCCTCGTCGTTGTCCGAATCACCAGCCCGCCACTCTTCCACTTCGCCGTCGTTCCCAACCGGCCGATTCCACCATTCGTCCTCATCGATGTCGGCATAGGCTACTTCATCCCCCGAAGCGCTATCGTCGTGGCCGTTCTCCGGCCAATCCTCGTCGCCGTCGTCGCCATGTTCTCCGTCGCCGTCGTCGCCGCCGTGTCCTTCGTCGCCATCGTCCCAGTCATAGCTCGCATGGGAGGCGGCGGTAGATCTTCCCGTCTTGCGCGTATTCTTCGCCATGGCTACATGGATGTCATCACCGGGCGAGTTAATTCGCCCGTAGTTATTCACCTGCACGTGAGGGCGAGGTGAGGACGTGCCTGCAGGGACTTTGCTGCGCATGGTTACGGTAAGCCTGCTAAGAGCAAAGGTTGAGTTGAGATCTCAACCTCCTTGAGCACCAAATGAAGCTCAAGCCCGACTACCCCCTCCAGCCACAGTGCCCCTTCCAAAGGTGCCAAGCCGCTTCTCTACGAGGAATCTCCTAGTAGAGGATAGCCCTGATGCTGCCATCGTGCTGCCAGCAGCATTCTGGAAGCATCCCAGCGCTGCTGGCAGGAAAACGACGCTGGCAGCATCATTAAATGCTGCCAGCACGGAGGGATGTTGCCAGCAGTGGCAGCTTTGCTGCATCCCTCACATGGCAAGTGGGGGCGCTGCATGCATCACCACCGAGGTCGCCCTAATTCAAAGGTATAATGGTACAGGGGTGGTTTCTACACACTTTGCAAGTTTTACATAGTCCTTATATTTTTTTCTATTTATAAGACTTATAAGACACCCTAAACCATCCCAAATACAAGATAACCCAAGCATTTTGAGTAGTGTACGAGATAAGACATATATGTCTACTATCCGGGCGATGACGGTAAGACAAAACATATCTTCCAAAGATCTACCCAAGAGCATCTTGAGGATGAGTGACACACTTGAGGATGAATTACTCTGTGCAAGGATGAGGGGGGAGGGTGAGCGGGGAAGGCTTTTGGTAAGGAAATAACAAGAGTAAGATAGACACTTCAATCTAAGAGAGAATCATTGTACCAGTACATCTAAATGGAAAATATTCAAGTGTGAGAATTGCCATAGTTCTTGACACAAAGCTGTTGGGCATTTCAGCTTCATGACCAGAAGACAAACGTATTTCAGCTCACACAACACAAGTGCCACCGAAAACAGACGATGACCGATAAAAGTAGCAAAAGGTGAGGGAAAAAAGTTATACGGAGTGCCGGGATGATACCTGTGGTGAACTGCCAGTTCAGGATGGTGTGCCTCTGGGGCTGGCTGCCTGAAAGGGCAACGAAGCCGAAGAGGAAGAGAGATTCGGATGCAGTGGGCTTGAGCACGGAGCAGAGAGACACGCTTGCTGTAAGGGCGGGGCCGAGGGGCTGGTCGGGTTCAGAGGATAGGAAGATTCGGAGGGTGCCGCCGCTGGTGGGGTCGTAGTGGATCCAGGCGTGCTTGGTGTGGCCATCGTTGAGGATGAGAGGGGCCGTGGCAGAGGCGAGGGACACAGGTGAACCGCCCACATTGACGCCCACGTGGTTGTCATTGGGGTCGCTGTGCTTCACACTCAGCACCGAGTCAAACTCCACCGCCACACTCCGCTTCCCCACCCCTCCCAGCCCCACACTCGCCCCCTTGCCAGAAGCAGCTGCCGCCACCACAAATGCAAAGCCCTCTCCAACTGCCACGTGGCCCAGTGCATGCATGGCAAAGCTGAAGGCAGCGGTGAATGCGAGCTCAATCCCGCAGAGGGAGCGCTTGTTGGGGAAGTAGAAGAGGCGCAGCGCGGGAGAGGCAAACGCTGCTCCCTGCTGGTTGGGCGCCCCTCCTGTGAGAAGAATGGAGCCGTTGGAAAGCACAGCAGCTGATCCCCGCACAGCCACATAGGCCGAGTCTGATGCCAGCGATCCTCCAACGGCTGCAGGTGCAAGGGAAGAGACACACGAACAGCGATTTCAGAGCAACCAAAATGCCGAACTGGTGTTGAGAAAGCAAATTGCCTAGTTGCCATGCAGGCCAGTGGCTCACCCGAAAGCAAACAGAATGAGCTAAACTTGAACCTCAACGAGGTGGGCCTGGAAACACACATCTCCTGGCAAACAGACGTTGGTGTTGGTGCTGTCAAGAAGGTAGTTGGGATCGCACACACACTCCCCCCCTCCAGTGAACTGATTCACAGAACAATAGCCATGCCCCTCACACACAGAGGCAGTGGACCCAGCCTCCATCCCACAGAATGCAGCACAGGCAGCTGGGGACCTTGAGGACGGAACACGGCCACAGATGAGCAGGTCAGTGGAGAGGCAGTTGAGATCGACGCTCCATTCAGCAGCTGAGCAGTTGAACTTGACATTCCCGTGTGTGAAAAAATTGCTGTTCATCTTGTACTCTAAGATGCCGGACGAGGCAGGGCTGGGCAGACGACCACTGAACAGATTATGGTTCAGATTTCTACAGGTGTGAAATGGAAGGGAGGGAGAAGGGCGGAGGGAGGAGGCCAGAAACAAAATGGTTGTAAGTATGAAAATGGAGTTCGGGAACATTGGCAGGTTTTAGAGGTTTAGAGCAGAACAGAAGTCATAGCCCCAGATTTCTATGTCTTGTCTTGTTTTATGTCATTCACACATACACCCCATAGCTTGAAAATCATGTTCAGATCAGCTGAGACATGCATTGGAGAGGGAAAGAGCTAGAAAAAAAACAAATAACAAACAAACAGATCCTTGCCCTCCCCCGTTTTCCCCTACGACTCAATTCCAACCTTCCCATACCATACGGAGTATGCCCAACAACGTCAATACAGAATTCGCACTCGTCTTGTTATCAAACTTATTCTCTTGATCTCCAGAATGCACCCCTGGTCCATTTCGAGTTTGTTTGGCTGGCAACAAAAAAGGGTTACTTGTGACCGAACAACCCAAGACTTTGTTTGGAGCTAGACAGTCAGTAGTGCACAACAATACACACAGGCTCTCAATCCTCTTCATGGTTCGCACGATGTAATCCACGGGTCCTGAGAAGCCATTGCCCTGCAAATGACTGAGACGCACATACACATGCATACACGCATGCATACACGCATGCATACATGCATGCATGCATGCACACGTATGCATGGGAAAGGAGGAGCACCACAAGGGAAGATGGCGGGGACATTGTGAGCTACAGCTCCTTCAACTCTACCTCTCATTCGTGATGCAAGCAGATGCAGATTGTGGAGAGGGAGCTCTATCACTCCTCCCACCTCAGCACACACACACAAGCACGATGGATTGTGGCTGACAATGTTTGGATGACTGGTGGGTAGCTATGACAAGAAGGATTGATAGGCGCGGGCAACAACAGCACGAGCCTTGTTCCCGGGACGAACCGGAAATTTTCCGGCCAGAGTAATGCAAAGTTGGCAATGAACACCCAGCATATGAGGCCGAAGAACTCGAGCCGGCAGAGTTCGACCAGAGAAGGTTCAGGCAGTGCTCATGCCTGCCTGATGCAAGTAATCCTCAATGGCATCTTGGTACACCTTTACAGTGCCGTCTCAGCTTTGCACCTTCTCGGCAAGGAGCATGCCCTCTAAGGTTGTATACCTCTGGCGCAAATTACAGGGATCGAAGTTTGGATAGATTGCTGAGGACGCTCGGGACGGTCCCATACATCTGATTGGCCGCGAAGCTCCTGCAAGCAGATGGTCGTGCAGATTGATACCAAATTGGACTCTGGAACGGTGAACAAGGAACGCAGGTTTGTGATTCCGGAGGAATGAAAGCACTGATGAGCTGGCGAACATGATGATTGCACTCTCACAAGTGCTGCAGGTTGGTGAGCTTCCCGAAGGCTGTCGGTATGGTTCCAGACACTTGATTAAATGCGAACGACCTGCTCGTGTGTGAAGGCACAACCGAGTCAACAGTAACAAAGGAGGCTCAAGCATGGTGGGCCAGGCCGGTCCAGTATCCGCCAATGGGGCTTGGATTACCCTCAGCTCGACCTCATCTCTTCAGACAAGCTAGACGGGGGTGATGGTCATTAGTATTAGGGATGTGCTAGGGTCGAGAGACAGCCGAAGCAGAGTCCGCTTGTCATGAGCCATCCCTGGCTCGTTTTTTTTTTAAGGCCAAGCTATGGCCGGCTCGTCACGGGCTTATAATGGGACATTGGCGGCTGATGGCTTCCATGGATGATAGCGGGGTATTGGCTATTGGTGTGCATGAAGAAGGCAAGACGGTGTGGGTCGTGGCGAGTGCGGTCGGCTGGTGATGAGCTGGCCAGATCAAAAGCCTTCCTTGGGTAGCAAACTTAGGTTGCCTTCACTACAGAGCCAAGAAAGAATTTTAGAATAGGGACAGATTTGAGCGAACAAACTTGCAACATGCCTGTCTGTATATACTCCAAACTTCAAATAATTCACATCTAACAATTCACCAAGTAGTGGCTCCAGCAGGATTTGAGCCTGATCTGGTGGTCACCGTCTGCCATTTCAACTTGACAATGGAAATACGAGCTAAACCAAACTCGATGGAATGCTCGGGTGCCACCAAACTGCCATGCCATGCATACTTCTCCCAAGGCTGTGTGTCTGAGCAGCAGGTTGCGTAATGAAATGGGGTTTTGGACTAGATCCATCCATCCATCCTACACAATGTAACTGTTTCAATCGATTGTACTACATGGGCAAAACGGAGACGATGCCTACATGTACTTGAGCTGCAGGAGGTCACCCAGGGAGGCAGGTATGCTTCCTAACAGACTGTTGATGTCGAAAAATCTGAACATGAGCACGATGTGCAGTGCAACATGCATGAGCTCGTGCAGTACAAATGAGCATAGCATGCAACAGAAATTAACATGAATGTGGGAAACAAGTGAACTACGGGAGCTGAACATTGGGGCAATGAAGAATAATATACATGACAAAGAACTCGATTGGAACGGACTTGGGTGGGTCACAAATGCACCTACAGGTACTCCAGATTCTGCAGTGATGCCAGTGATGCCGGAATTGACCCACTCAATTGGTTGTTGTGCAGGTACCTAGGGAAGGGCCAGAGGCAGGCAAAGCACCATGTGTGTGCCTTGCAGTAGACACGCTAACGAGCCAAGACAAAAGGCAGGCTCGTCTCGAAGAAGCTGTGGCCTCATGTCTGTCCAGCCGAGCAATTCAGTGCATGACCAGCTTGAGGCCTGCATCATAGGGTTGGCTCAAGAGCCTTTATAAGCTCAGGGTCAGAAGAAGTCCACTCTCGGTACAGCCGATTTGTATATAATTCATTTCTTCTTGCTTTTTTCCTCTTTTCCTTTCTTTCTTGGTAATGTTTTGGCCCGCTGCTGCTGCGCACACAACCTATGGCTAATGTACAGGTCCTGTCATTAATAGCGATAGGTAATGGACAAACACTGAAGTAGTTGGACATACAAATTACTGGTGAAGTAGGTGAGGAAACAGAGAGGGGAAGACATGGCGCGTTTTGACACTAGGGACAATGACACTTGATGCGTCCAATCCATCATTAGTTTTACCTGATGCACCTCTTCAAGATGTACGGTGCCTTTCGGATGTCCAATTTGGATGAAACCAGAGACAATCTGAAGCCCGTCCGTGCTCACTCCGACCAACGACAATACAGAACAAAGGCTGCTCTACAATCTTCTAAGGTCCAAACTCAACTACAAGACAATCAGTTGTAGCACTTTAACAAGCACAAGGGAGTGCAAAATCGGGCACTGCATGCTGTTTCAAGGCATGTGTGGAAAAGAATCCGGGATTGGTCAGCTTTGGCTGTGCAACCCAAAGTGGGAGTGGTGTTTGTGAGAGTGAAAGATTCTCACAGGCCGTGCAAACCAGTGAGCGCTGCAAGTGACTCTGGAATGGATCCTGTCAGCTGATTCTCTGCCAGTGCGCTGGTGCAAGTGAGCAGGCCCCCATGCACATGCACGGTTCACGATTGGCAGAAAGCCATGAGAAGGGAAAGTGGTTGCATGGAAAGAAGGGGGAATATGTTAAGCATGCAGAGATCACGAGTGCACAATGGATTCAGTTGTGCGAGTTGCCTGTATGGCATCTGACATCAGATGAAGGAAAGAGTGGCATATTGGTTTTTGACAGCCTTGCCGAAGCATCTGCCAAACCACCTTGCTGGAGGGACAATTTGTGAACTACAAATGCAAGCACCAACGCGACATACAGGATTTAATATCTCAAAAGTGCGCCCACTGGTAACGCAGCATGTGTTTCATTTCAGTATTGAGTCATAAAAAAACAAATCCATGGGCAAGCAAATTTAGTCAACAAGAACTGAAACCAGAACCCAGGCTCAGGTTGACATTCACACGAGGGGTTGGGCATTACACCCACACCTCACGTCACATGTTTCCTCCACCCCAGTTCATCATGGTCAATCGCTCTTGTTATGGTCAATCCACGCGTGCATGTTAAGCAGCAGTGAGAAAAGAGAGTATTGACCAGGTGTAGTATGGCCAGTAACCTCACATGTATGTGACCTCCTGCAAGCGGCTGAGGGAGTCAGGAATGGAACCCGAGAGCTGGTTGACGCTGATATCCCTGCCAATAAGAAGCCGTGTATGAGAAACAAGAGGAGAGTGAGTGCCATGTGCTAATCAATACAGAGTGAGGGGGCTTCAGGTGTTGAAAGGCCACGTGCCGTCAATGGACATCAAACGTCCGACACATGTTGAAGGGCACGGCACCTATTGCTGCACCTCGTCATCGCTGTCGCCGACGTCGGTTAGATGCACTTGGCCTATGGCGACAGAGCACCAGTTGAAGGCCGGAAAATGCAGCGCCTTCGTCAGAAAGTCAGTCGGCTGCTCGATGGTCGGGATGTACTTTAGCACGAAATTCACGCACCTCACCATGTGCTGCAGCCAGGCGTAGCGTCGCTCCATATACTTGAGGTTGCCCGTCAGCCCCAAGCCCTCAGCGACCGTAACTTGTGGTCCACGCGGATGGTGGTCGGCTTCCTCGTGTCGAGTAGCTTGAATTTTGCAAGGAGGAAGCAAAGTCGACGCCCTGCCTTGCCGGCGTCCGTGGCCGCGACGTACTCTGACTCGGTCGAGGAGAGCGTTGCACACTTGATGCGCTGGCTAGACCAGGAGATCACGGCCCCTCCAAAGGTAAACACGTAGCCGCCTGTGCTCGTCCGGTTCTGCTTGTTGCCCGCGTCATCAGCGTCCACGTAGCCGATCAGCTCCAGCGACTCTGGTCCACCGCCGAAATCCAAGGCGGTGTTGCGGGTGTCAGCGAGGTAGGCGAGGCAGCGGTCGACCTCGCGCTAGTGCTGGTTGCTCCTCACCGTGAGGCCGCTCCCCAGCTTGCTGCAGGTGAAGGCGATGTCCTGCCTCGTCGTCGTTGCCGCAAACTGCAGCGAGCCAACCTTATGCCGGTATTCCTCCTCCTCCTCGCGCTCTTGCGCCTCCTCGTCATCGAATGTCAGCTTTGCGTAGGCGTCGATCGGGACTGGCGTCTTTGGGATGCGCCCGGTCTGCTCCTCGTCGATGAAGCGCATGCTCACCTTGTCAGCGTAGC